AGTGCCACAGCCCAGAGGTCTGACAGGGCTTCGCCCGTCATTCCCCCCTTGGGAGTTGCATGTTGCGACCCCAGGACTCTGTACTGGTCTTGAGGTCACTTCAAATGAATTCCGGAAGGAGCTTCCGGCAATCGCTTACTCAGGGCTTTACTGCCACTGCTGCCAGCCTCCAGTTTTCCAGCCTGGCTGCCAGTTCTGTTGGTGCCACTGCTGGTTCCACTCTTGGCCGTATCCGGCGGATCGCCAGTTTCTCCACTGCTCCTCAGCCCAGCTCGATCCCTGCCATTGCTGGTGGCTGTCGTAGCTCTGCCGATTCCATCGCCATTCATCTTGGTTCTGAGGGTGGCTTGGATCATCGGCTGGAGCAGCCGCTGCACTATCTTGGGGGTTGGTCCTCAAATCAGCGGTGCGCTGGGCTCTTCTCTGCGCCCTCTCGGCCTCCTTTCTCGCAAGATAGCCGGGTTCCAAAGTGGGGGGTCTTGGATGATCCCAAGACCTCGGCATATCAGCTGGTGTGCAACCCTCCATTCGTGCGAGCTGTTGGTGATGCCTGGCCGCCCTTTGCCGCGACTTATGTCGGATCCTCGCCTCTTCCGGCGAGAAACCCATCCGGATGTCGGCTGCGAACTTGCCTGGCTTGGTGGGTGGAGGAGCCTCGTCCGTTCGCAGCTGCAGGGACTTCAGGTACTCGGTGCATCGTTGCCAGGATGAAACCCTCATCTTTGCTTTGACCTCTGCAGGCGCCCTCAGGTATGCTTCCATGCGATCACCAATCTCTTTCAGGAGATCCATGTCCTGTTGAAACTCCTCTGGAGTTCGATCGTCCTCCTGATCTCCCCAGTCGACTTCTTCTGAGGAGAAGAAAGGTGTCTCGACCGGAGCGGTCGGGCTTGATCTGGCTGGACCAGCCGGTGGTGGGGTCCCCCCCGTCATGGCTTGGTCCCTCGTCTCCTCGACCTTTGGCGCCTTGGCGGGGCTTTCCCCGCTGTCTCTTGCAGGCGGCTCTGCCATGGGGGCATCTTCCTCCCTAGTGTCTTTGCTGACAGCTCTTTTGGGCCTTGCGTAGCTCCTCGGATCTTTTCCCCTGGACGTCATAGCTTCCCAGGCGGGCGGGAAGACCATCTCGGCAAGGTTGATCCTTGGGGATCCACCGCCCAAGCAGTCTTCCCTGACTGCTGTCGGCAACGGAGTCCCGACTTCTGGGATGGGTGCTAGGGTCTTCCTCTGCTGCCTCAGCTTTTGGTTGTTGTAGTGGAAAAGGAAGCTTTTCACTGCATCCAGTGCTTTCTGGTTGAAGGCATCATTTGCTTCCTTTCGATCCCCTTGGAGACCATCCGTGGTGTTCTCCTCATCCCAGTTCTGGCTGACCTCCGGCCAATCACAACTGGTCGGATCGACCACATCGTGCCAGCCATCTTCGGAGTCCGGGTCTACGTTGACCAGCACATAGTCCTGCGAGGGGTCTTCCACCCTGTCCGCATGGTCACCGGGCTCTGGTGTTCCCAACCACAGCGCAGCTGGGCTGGCCCCTTTCCGGGCTCCTTGGTCCACCTCCATGGGGGCCGCCTCGGGCCGGATATCTTGCTTGTTCTGAGTTCCTTCTCCCTGGTAAGTTTGGGGATTTCTCTCAAACAGCCCGGAGGGTCGGAAGGGCTCTTCTCCTTCCTCGGCATTGGGGGCCCGTAGGTCCTCTCGCATTCCTTTGGTTTGGTATGCTTGAGCGGACCGCTCGAAATGCCTGGGAGTTCCTCCTACACTTTCCTCCGGTGTTCTTGGCTCGCCTGAGGGTGTTGACCCCTTTGCCTTTGGCGGAACAAAGCTTGGTGGCGGCGCCTTCCGACCGATTGCGGTCCCTCTCTCCTCCTGTTTTGGTGGGATGAAGTCCTTGGGCGGAGGAGGTGGTGGCTTCCTCAGACCCGCTGCTCCTCCTCCCTCCTGCTTCGGCGGTAGGAAGTCGCTGGGTGGAGGAGGTGGTGGTTTTCTCAGACCAGCTTTGGGTGGCGTCTTTGCCCTGGGCAATCTCTCATCCCTTGGAGGTGGCATGTAGCCTGGAGGTTTTGGCGGCGCCCATTGGTGGTAGTTGGACGATGGGCGTGGGACCTCCGACATAGGCGAAGGTTTTGGCATGTTCTCTGCTGGGGGGAACCTCGAGGTCGGCTTTGGCGTTGGTCCTTGTGCGGTTGAACTGGCTGGACCAGCTGTAGCCGTTTGCTGTTGTGGTCCCCATCCTGTGGCAGCTGGGCCGGCTGGATCAGCCGTAGGGGCATTCGGTCTCGGAGCACTGTAGGATGGTGGGAACCTGGATGCTGGCTTGGGCTGGGTCGGTTGGTGCTCTGCCTGCGGACCCGGTGGTGGAGTAGTGGATCTCGATTCAAAGAAGTCTCGAGCTTCCCGAAAAGACGAGGAAGGCTCCTTCCTAGCCTGTTGTGCATAGCATCCCCGAGCCTGCCCTTCATCCTCGTTATTCCGGGGGTTATAGGCTCTGGTTGCCCCTGGCCTTGCTGGTGCTGCCCGGGCTACTGCTGCTGCCCTCGCCCTGGCTCTGGCGAGTTCTGCCGCTCTCTCCGCTTGCCACTGACGGAATTGCTCGGCCATCAGTGGGTCACTAAGGATATCCCTAGCGGTCGACATCCTCTTGAACTCTTCGGATTTCTCTTCCTGCTCTTCTGTCGGCAAGTGGCTGAGCTTGTCTGGATGGTACGTTCTTGCCTTCATTCGGAACGCCTTGAGCACTTCGGGCGTACTGGCCCCTCGCCTGACTCCGAGGAGTCGATGCAGGTCTAGATCCGGGTTGTGTCTGAAAAAGAGGTGTGATTCCTCCAGCTTGCTAACTGGGGCCGCTTCCATGACGCAGCTTCCAGCACGTTCGCAGAAGGACACTCGTCGGTCTGGGGCCCAAGACAAAGATCTCGAGCCTAGAGTCCCACGATTGGGATCAGACCGATCTTGGTGGTTTCCAACGGGTGGGCGATCGGCAGCCTGAGCCTTCTGACTAGGCAAGGTGATGACGTTGCTGCCTATCATGCCTTGGGAGATGCCTATCTGGGCTGTGTGGTCCTCATATAAATATGCATGAACGGCATCTGCAGAGGTCCAGCCCCCGTATCTCTTCAACCTCTCAAGGTCCCCGGTAGATGCGAAGAAAGCCGTGGCACCCCCTTTGCGGAGTGAATGAGACCCTGCAAGTTCCCCTGGGTATCCCGCAGCCAGTGCTGCCACCTTAATTAGGTGGGCTATCCCCTCCCGGTCGAGACCGGATCGGTCCGCGTACCGAAACAGCGGCTTTTCAAGCTCCGCACCTCTCCAACGATGAGGTTGTAGTGCTTGCAGTGTAGCCAAAGCCTCGACCGGACACAGATCTCCACCGGATCGGTGGTGTGAACGAGCTTGCCCACGACCGAACTGGTCTGTCTTGGAGGACCTGACTTGGATCACCACTTCATCTGCTACTGTCCCCAAACAGGCTTGACCCCCCTTATAGAAGGCAACATCGGCTGGGCGGATCGCCCGATCTAGCGGGTCTGATCCATCGCCATGCGGCAAGAGTTCACTGGCTCTCAGCATGAAGAACCACCCAGTCAACAGGGCCCCTTTAACCATGGCTTGGTCCGGTACGGTTAGACCCATTCGTTGGATGTGCTGGTTCAGCCACCTGAGCATGGTTGGGGTAACTGGGAGCTTTCTGGCTGGGGCTCCTTCCCACCTCTGCAGTCCCGCTACGGCGGACCACAGCCGTGGTTTCCCTGAGAGTGGGTCAGGGTAGCCGGCAGTAATGTGGGCATAACGGATAGCATACCGAGCGGAACGCTCCTCTCCCGTGAGGAACAACGGTGACTTGGCTCCACTATTAAAAAGGACCCATTGCTTCCATCCAGAGGCATAGACTCTCCTAGTGGAGTCAGCTAGTTTAGCTAGCACTGCTTCCATGCCAATGTGGTCCAGGGCCTCGATGCCTTTAAGCCTTGGGGGCCCACAGTTCCCTTTGGGGGGATGCTCCGCTTCTTCTTGTCGGTTTTTGGCTGGGGCAACCAGCTCGTGAGTGGGAGTCAGGTAGGGTTTTTTAGCTTTTCCCCTTTTGGGGGCACCGGCTTTCCAGGAGGAACCAGCATGAGTGGGGGGGCACATAGGTTCTTTGATTTTCCAGGAGACCAGTGCCAACTCATTCGATGGTCTCTTGGGGTTTCTACCCCAAGCTCTCAGCCACACTTCAAGCTGCTCATGGGCTTGCATCTCATCAGGGTCATAGACCCCTGCTCGTGATCCCTCCCAGCGGTGCGTCGCTTGGAGCAAGCGGAAAGCTGCTTGCCAACCAGGTTCCCGTACCATGGCTTGCACAAGGTCGGAACGACCTGACGGAGGCGTTTCGTTCCACACAGCAGCTTCCCCACCTTGCATTTCCCACAGTTCTTCAGGGAGGAGTGGTCTCACATTTCCGGATCCATCTTCAAGCAGTGTTCCCCCTGGAACCTTTAAGGGGTGCCCCCGGAGCCTGGGCCCACATGCTGGTCCTCTGTGGCTATGCACCAGGTGTCTCTCCCCGGTGGACTTCTCAAGGAGGTGTCCTACTGGTTTAGGGAGCCAAGGGTCCCCGGTGGTCACGAT